AACTCACACAAGTATGCGTAAAAGTGTTTTTTTTTTTTAACACAAATATCACACAACATAAAAAAACTAAAGCAAATAGACAATTAAAGCAAAATAGATAATATCCTTGACATGTGATTTTATGAGCCAACAATTGTCCTCCGGAATGATTTCCACATACTCATTCATTTATTTCTTGAAAAGCATAAAGTGCTTCTTCTTCATTCAGGCATCTTAACAATGGTACCGAATATCCCCACTTATAGAGCATATTATCAATTAATGTGTACCTTACTGATCTCATTCAGAGTCTTCTTGCTTCAATGGGATCTTAAGGACATATCCCCGTCTTTAGATAGGAATTGATTCCATTCATCTATGTAGGCTTGGGATCGATCATCATGGAGATAACTTCCAGTCTTTCAATAGCAGGATAGGTAATTCTTCCTACGGGAATGCTGTCAAGCTCTTTTATTCATTCACTTGTGGCCAACCGACCTAAAGTCTCAGCATGATCGTCCAGAGTTTGGTAGGCCTCATTGATCTGATTAACCATCAATTGTGAGTCACTCGGGACTACCAGATGAGTAATTTTCATCTATTTTGCCATCATACTCCAACTATTAACGTTTCATATTCAGCTTCATTGTTGGAAGTCTTGAAGTCAAATGACAAGGCTTCTTGGAATAACTAGCGAGTAAGACTTAATAGGACAACTCCTGCCCTTGATTGAACTTCGATGGATGATCTACCTACAAAGAGCTCCCATGGTGCGTCATGATGGAGTCCTCCTAGTGGCTCCGATCTGAACTATGCAACAAAATCAGCAAGTGCTTGACCATTTATGGAGGTGCGATGTTTGTATCTTATGTCAAACTGTTCGAGCTCCACTGCCCACTTGACCATCCATCCAGATGTATCAGGCTTTTATAATGTTTACCTTAATGGATGGTTAGTTAAGATCTCAATAGGATGCTCTAGAAAGTACGGTCTCAACTTCCTAGCTGCCATAACAACGACATAGGCCAATTTATCTAAAGGAGAGTAATGGAGCTCTGCTTCATGGAGGGCTTTGCTAACATAGTAAACATGTTGTTATATTCCTTCTTCTTTCCTAGCTAAGACAACACTGATAGCATGTTCAGATACTGCAAGATATAAAGTCAACATTTCGCCTGCTTTTGGTTTTGACAACACCGGTGGTTGTGCCAATTATTTTTTTTTTGTTCATCAATGATGAATTGGCATTCAAGAGTCCATTCAAAATTTTCCCTCATTACAGGACATTGAAGAATGGTTTACACCAACCAGTTGATTTTGACATAAAGCGACTGAGTGTAGCTCGTCCAATTAAGCTTTGAACCTTCTTAGGCCTTGTTGGGGCTCGCATTTCAATGATGGCTTGTATTTTTTT